GAATCTGGGCCTGGCTATTTCACTTCCTTTGGCCAAGAGACATTAGCAAACCCAACAGAAGCAGAGGCTTGTGCACTAGGGATTGCCCTCTTTCTGCTCTGTGGAGTCCTGCACCTACCACCATGTGTATGAGCCTAGGCTAACCTGCTAGATGATGAGAGAAATGGGATCATCACTCCAGGTGACAGCACAACAACCACTGGACATTCAAGCAAGATCTCCTAAGACCAACTGACTTGCCAATCATCAGACACGTGAATGAAGCCATTCAGCCCCAGCCAACCCAACAAAGACCTTAAGAACTCTCCAGACAGCCCAAAGAATTGTGAGAAATCACTTTAAGCCATTAAGTTTTGAAGGTTTTGTTTGCTGCAGCAAAAGAACTGACAGGTTATTAACTTACAACAAAAATCCATGTATATATGTTTCTGTTCTCAAAAAGACTTTTATCATACACTTTGACTGACATTATATCACTAACCTCAGAGCCACAACACTACTGACATGACATGACCTACTAAAACAACATTATAATTCTACATGGTCTTTAAAATTTTCAGGCAACCTGCAAGGATACAGATGAAGATAGAAAACATAATTACACAAGTAAAAAGAATTCTAAAACCAAAAGAATTCAAAGACTAGGAGGTCTCGATCATCTGTCACTGCCTTGTGTGTGTGTGCGCACACTGTGTGTATACACACACACACATACACAAAAAATTTCAAATTAACACGTTTCAAGGATAAAGACTGAACAGGTGCAAAAATGAGTTTTTGTGAAAACTACAGAGTGATATTACAAAGATAAACACTATAAAGATCATAGGAATGGTTACATAATTTGTCATCTTTTACTTTCCACAGAATTGAGGACAAATGAATTTTGGTTGATCAGATTTTAATCAGGGAGGAAGGAAAGAAGGAAGAAGGGAGGGAAGGAAAGGAGGGAGATAAGGAAACAAACTAGTCTCATGAGGATGGACTTAGTTTGGGTTCCACAAGCCACTGGTAGTCAGGACCATCAGGTTGCACTATGAATAGGTGCAGTAACAATTTTATGTCAGCATATACAGCAGCCCTTGCTGGTAGTATTAATTCTCTGGGTCTGATCTAAACTTGGGCATATGAGGACCTATTTTAAGTTGAAACAGATGAGGTTTTTTTTTACATTTTAAGCTTCAATATTTGCACAGAGTACAATACTACGATACAAGGAAACATAAAATACATATTTTAACATTATTATACTGTTTTATCCACTAAAAAATAGTGCTAATTCATTACAGATACTCATTATCATGAATTTTTCTTTTGTTAAAATTTTTTAAAGTTTATTTATTTGAGAGCGAGCGCACACGCACATAGCACAAGCAGGGTAGGGCAGACAGAGAGGGAGAGAAAAAGAATCCCAAGCAGGCTCTGCACTGAAGGGCAAAGCCCAATGTGGGGCTCAATCTCATGAACCGTGAGATCATGACCTGAGTCAAAATCAAGAGTCAGACACTTTAAATGACTGAGCCACCTAGGCGTCCCTATCAACAATTTCTTTAATGCTGCTAAGTGCATTTTCCAAACTAAGATTAAAGAAAAACAGTAAAGGTTAGATTTGCATACTTGCTCTCTATTAACTCATTCAATTATCTCTTCTCACATGTTTCTAGATCTTTTGAATACTGCTTTTTGGACTGGTTTTCACTAAACCTGAGGTTTTTCAGAATATAAAAGGCAGAAAGAGGAATTAAAGGATAGTGAATTACAAAATTTTAAAATTCAAAACTTCTCTATAGATTTTCTTTCCTCCGGTCTGTAAAAAGTATTATCTCTCAACTATACCAGGCTCTAGTAAACCTAACCTATTGAACTTAGTTAATGAGAGGTCATGATCAAATCATCAAACTAGAACATGAATTTGGCTTTGTTTCCCACACCCTGTCTTTGTTATGGTTGATATTAAGTGAAACTACATTCCAACACTGATACCTCATTTTCTTCCTCCCGTAGAATACTACCATGCATGAGTCTAATAATGTTATCTCAACCAATTCTTTTGGTGAAGACAAATGCACATGGCAGGATGTAGGCTAATTCATTTGACATCACCAAAATATATAGCCTCACTATATGATTCTACTAATAAGCATGCTGCACAATAATGCCATAGGTAAAGGGAAGAAGGGTGCTGAAAGAGAAATAAGGTACAAGACATATTTTCAGTTTCTCAAGATGAGTGTTAATGTCATATTCTAAGAGGTACTCAGAACTTCCAAGTTCTCAAAAACAGTGATAAATAAAATGAAGTCCTCAAATACCTAGGAATGAATCTCAAAAGATGTGTAAGATCTGTAGGATGAAAAACAAAAAATATTATTGAGAGAAAATAAAAAACTAATGAAGGAAAATACCATGATCACAGACTGAAAGATTCAAAATTGTAAAGACATCAATTGTACCCAAACTTAATTACAACTTCAATGGAATCCCAATCAATATCCTAAGCAGATTTTTTGTGGTATCTGACAACTATAGAGTTTATACACAAATCTAAAGAGCCAAGAAAATCTTGAAGAACAGCAAAATTAATACTCTACTAGATATCAAGAATTATTATAAAGTTATAGCAACTAAGACAAAAATAAGGAAATCGGAAAGAGCCCAGAAATGCACACCATATATATGATTCAGCTGATTTATGGCTAAGAGGACATTGCAATGTAGCATGGAATGGGTGCCTTTTCGATAAATGATCATGTCCATTGAGTACTTATATGAAAAAATATGAACCCTGATGGTGACCTCATATCATATACAAAAATCTATTCAGAAGAACTGTAAATTTAAATGCAAAAGATAAAACAATAAAAGCTTCCAGAAGAAAACTTCAGAGAATACATTAATGACCTGGGTTAGGCAGAGATTTCTTAAGCAGGACACAAAAAGCACTAATCATAAATGGGAAAAAAAAAAAAAACCCTTATAAATTAGATTACATTAAATTAAGAACTTCTAGTCATCAAAGCACTCTTAAGAGTGAAAAGGCAAGCCTTTTTGAGTAAGAGGATATATGTGCAATACATATAATTGACAAGATTCTTATCCTATCCACAATATATTAAAAACTCCAACAACTCAATGAAGAAAAAAAAAAAAAAAGCCAGTAGGGAAATGTGCAAAAGAGTAAACTAGTTACTTTCAAAAAGAGGATATCCAATTGGACAATAATTATATAAAAAGGAACTTGACTTCCTTAGTCATCAGGAAAATACAAATTAAAACTACAATGAGATACTACTACACAGCCACCAGAATGGCTAAAATGAGGAAGACAGACACTACTGAGTGTAGCCAAAGATGTGGTACACTGCTGGTGGGAATGTACATTGGTACAATGACTTTGGAAAACCTGCAGTATCTAGTAAAGCTGAGCATGTGCATACTTTTTGATCCTGAAATTCTAATTTTATATACATAGCCAACAAAAACAAATACATATGCTCACCAAAACACATGTACAAAAATATTCATAGCACCCCTACTGTAATAGCCACAAACTGGAAACAATTCAAATATTCATCCATATTAAAAAGAACAAATAAATTGTGGTATGGTCATATAACAGAATACCATACAGCAATGAGAAAATAAACTGTTGTTACACACAAGATAAATGAATCTCACAAACATAAAGATAAAAGGAAGGAAGCCACACAAAACAATGCACATACTATTTGATTCTGTCACATAAATGTTCAAAAACAGGCAAAATTTATCTGTGATATTTGAAGTCAGGAGGTAGTTGCCTGGGTGCTTGTGTATGTGCTGGTGGTGGGGTGCAAAGTAGTGATAAAGAGGGGTTTGGAGAAAGCTCTGGCTACTAGTAATATTCTACTTTTTAAAATCTCGGTGTGTTCATTTAGTAAAGATTCATCAAGCTATGCATTTATAATGTGTGCATTCTGTGTATATATACTTCAATAAAAAGTTTATTTAAAAAATCGATTTAACAAAAGCTTAAAGAAGTTTATCTTTTACAAAAATTTTAACGAAAAACGAAAAATAAAACTATCATATCACTTCTGGGTATTTATCTCATGGAAATGAAATTACTGTCTTGAGTAGACAGATGCACCCCTATGCTTACTGCAGCATTATTTATAATAGCCAGGACACAGAAAAAGACACAATGTAAGTGTCCATTTGTGGATAAATGGATAAAGAAAATGAGGTGTATATAAGCATACAATGGAGTATTAGCCATTAAACAAAGAAGGAAATCCTGCTGATTCCAGCAACACAGATGGACCTTGCAGGTATTATATATTGAAATAAGTTCAGACAAAGAAAGACAAATACTGTATGATCTCACTTATATGTGGAATCTTAAAACAAAACACAAAACCAAGCTCATAGATCCAGATAAAAGATTGGTGGTTGTCAGAAGTGGGGTGGGAGGGGGTAAGAGAGGGTGAAGGTGGTCAAAAGGTGCAAGCCAATTATAAGATAAGTAGTAAGTCACCGGCATGCAATGTTCAGCATGGTGACTGTAATTAATAATACTGTATTTTATGTTTAAAAGTTGCTAAGAGAATAAAGCTTAAAAGCACTCATCACAAGAAAAAAATATGCAACTATGTGTGATGGTTGTTAATTTATTGTGGTCATCATTTTGCAATATATACAGATATTGAATCGTTAAGTTATATACTAAAACTAACATAATGTTCTACCTCAATTATTGCAATTAAAATTCTCAATAAAAGGGGTGCCTGGCTGGTTCAGTCAGTGGAACATGTGACTCTTGATCTTGGAGTTGTGAGTTCAAGCCCCATACTGGGCACAGAGATTACTTAAAAAAAAAAAAAATTAAAGTTAAGAAAAAAAGTTTTGAAAATCTCAATAAAGGAAAGGCAAGAAAGAAAGAGAGAGAAAGAGAAAGAGAGGGAGGAAGAAAGAAAACCTCATGTCCATTAAGCAGTTACTCCCAATTTTCCCTTTCCCCCAGGTCTTGGCAGCTACCAATCTGCTATTTCTATAGATTTACCTATTCTGGGTATTTCATGTAAGTGAAGTGATACAATATGTGACCTTTTGTGACTGGCTTCTTTCACTCAGCATGAGGTTTTAAAGGTTCACCCACACTATGTAACAGTATCTGTATTTCATTCCTTTTTATGGTTCAATAATATCCCATTGTGTGCATATATCATAATTCAGTGAACTCCTTATTTGTATATAAAGCATTTGTGGTAATTTTTGACCTTCAGTACTTGCTGAACTCCCTACCATAAATTAACACACTTTTAAGAATCCTCACTCAGAAGTCAGTTGTCACCTATTCAACAAAATGGAAAATTTTAATATTGCACTAAGTCACTATAACAACTCTCTTTGTATAACCTGTTAGTAGTCTATGAAATATTGCTAACAACAGCCTTGTGAATTAAGTAATATTATCCTTATTTTGTAGGTGAGAAATCGGAGACAAAGAGCTGAAGTAGCAGGCTAGTGTCACAGTGGGTAAACGGCAAGATCCTGACTAGACCCCTTCTCTTTCCATCCACCCCACATCAGAGTTCAACCAGCTATTCACACTAACCCAGTCACAACTCACTACAATGACTGTAAGATATCACTACAAATTAAATTTTGAAGAGAGGTTCTCACATTCAGGACAAGAAAAGGCTCAAGTTACAAACTGGTTTAGCTCTAAATACATGTTTATAACTTAGTCTCTGTAATTCATAAAGCATTTTCCCAAATAAAAACCTATACAAATGGTTAAATAATTTCCTGGAGGGATACCACAAATTAGGTTAAGAGATGGGGGTTTACTGGGAAGAATCAAGAAACCAGAAATAAAAATAAGCTACAAAAAGTATACTCATTTCTCTCCTATTTGCTCTTTTTTGGATTCCGTTCAGTTTCAGATAGCTAGCGCCTAAGAACAAACACAAGGCTACCTGCCCCAGTCGGCAGCAAACAACTTCTTCCTTGGTTTCCTCATTTTGTTGTTTTTATAATGTTTTTATTTATTTTTGAGTGAGAGAGAGAGACAGAGCATGAGCCTGGGACGGGCAGAGAGAGAAGACGACACAGAATATGAAGCAGGGTCCAGGTTCCAAGCTGTCAGCACAGAGCCTGATGCAGGGTTCAAACCATGGACCATGAAATCATAACCTGAGCTGAAGTCAGACATTTAACCAAAACTGGGCCACCCAGGCGCTCCTCAGATACCTCGTTCTTAAAAAAACAAGAAATACCAAATGAGCAGTTCAAAGTAGCTCTTTGCTGGATATTCTTCCCCCCACCACAGGAATGACTCAATCTGGAGGATCTTGGGGCAGTGAAACATGGACCTTGCATAGGCAGCTTCCTGCCAGTAACTATAAAGCTAAAGAGGTAAAACCTGTCCTTGCAGCTGACAGATCATATAGGGGCGAGAGCCACAGCTGGTAACCAAGAACTCTAGCATCTGCCTAGCGTTTCCTCTATGTAACATGTATTATACCAAAACCTGGATAGGTAATGAATGGTAGGTGGCTCTTCAGGTACCCGCAACACACAACCTGGCCACCCAGTGGCACAATTAATGAGTCCCAGTATCTCATTTTAATTCATAACAAAAGCACTTATTACACAGTAACATGAAAATTCTTGTTTAATAAAAAATTCCTAATTTGAAAGAAAATGTATTTGAGAGCTATTTGAAAAGCAAATGTATTATGACATTTGAAAGATTACTGAAATAAACTTGCATAGCATGGCAGCAAGAAAGTTTGTGATATAATGAAAATAAGTGGGATTGGAAGTCAAGAGGCCGAGCATAAAACCTAGCACTTAGACGTATAATAAATGACAAGTGAATGATCTAGTACCAAAGGACTATGGGCAAGTTATTTCTTCTCTCCCTATTTCTAAAATTAGATTGTAATAAGGCTTAAATGAGTTATTACATTTGTGTTTAGAGCAGTTCTTGGCACAGAACTATTTATTGACTAAATAGTAGACACTATTACTAGATACTAATAGATACTATCACTAGTTCCACCACGAGACAGAGGTGTAATCTCAGACAAGTTACTAACCATTCTAGAATTCTATAAAATGACAGTGCTAATAATAGATGCTCTATAGTTCCCCTTCAGCTCTAAAAGAATATTTACATTCCGATTCTCAAACATGTTACATTAAGGAGTATCTTCCCACAGGCACATTAAAACTTTAAGTACTACTGTATTTTCCAGACAATAGTATATTACAGAATATATACCAAACATACAGTGGGGGAATGGGGCTTGGACATGTGGATATGACTGGACGTACAGACTATCACTTAAGGTAGAGACTGTAACTTAAACACATATCACAAAAAGAAATATACTCAGAATAAGTAAAACAGTTCTGGATGAAGATTGAGGAGATTGTGTTCTACTCCTGACACTGCTACCAAACTTAAAATAGTAAATTACTCCTATCTATGTTTGTTTGCTTATCTGTAAGGTGAGAAAGGTTGCAATACATGATCACTAAGATCTCTTTGGGACTTTTTTCACTTTTTTCCTTCTTTCCAAACTAGCATAATGTCAATTATTACTTAGAAAACTGGGAACTTTAGCACCCATAAATATGAAAAGTTGGCTGATCTCCTGGCCTAAGCAAGCAGTCCCTGATCTGAGAGTGGGTGCAAATGGCAATGGCCTTTTATTATTTTTTTTAATGTTTGTTTGTTTATTTATTTATTTATTTATTTATTGAGAGAGAGAGAGAGAGAGAGAGAGAGAGAGAGACACACACACAGAGTGAGCAGGGGAGGGGAGAGAGAGAGGGAAGGAGAGAGAATCCCAAGCAGGCTCCTCACTGTCAGCATACAGCCCAATGTGGGGCTTGATCCCACGAACCATGAGATCATAACCTGAGCCGAAATCAAGAGTCAGATGCTCACCTAACTGAGCCACCCAGGCACCCTGGCAATGACCTTTTAGATGAGCCCACATTCACTTTCAAGAGCCAGTGGATTTGATTTTGCCTCTGCTTTCTAAAATAATGTACATTCTATACCATAGAGAAGGGCAGGAAAAGGAAATTAGCTCAATAAATGCACTGATACACTAACCTTCTCACATAATTGCAGAATTAACGGATTCCTTTGTATGAAAATATATTTAATAGCCAACATTTACTCAGCACCTACTATGTGAAGGATCCACTGGTAAGTACTTTTAAGATAGAAAACAAGATAATTTTAAGTGATCTTTAGGTAAGAGTACTGCTGTAGGGGCTGGAAAATACATGGCTACATCCATCACATTTCTTTCATTTCCAAGATAAATCCTTGCAAAAAAGGAAAACAGAATCTTATTTCATTATCTCTAAGAAAAAAGAGATTAAGTAGAATCTGAAATTTATTTTTTTATATTACTTATTTTTTTTTTTTTTGAGAGAGAGAGAGCATGGAAGGGGAGGAGAGGCAGAGGGGGAGGGAGAGAATCTTAAGCAGGCTCCATGCTCAGCACAGAGTCTGACACAGGACTCAATCCCCCAACCCTGGGATCATGACCAATGATGGAATCAAGAGTGAGACACTCAACTAAGTCGCCCAGGCACCCTAGAATCTGAAATTTAAACTCTTATGTTCACATCAGGACAGTAATTTATTCTTAATATTCCCAAAAGTTGTCATTATAGTCTTACCTTTTTATTTCAAACCCACAGCAAAATAAAAAACAGAAATTTGTTTAAAACATGTAACTAAAAGTTAAAAAAAACCCAAAACCTAAAAACCTCTTACCTGAGCATGAAAATTGGACATAGTCGTTGTCTCTATATCCTTCTTTCCTAATATCTCCATTTTCACTGGTGAATTGGGAAAATTAAATGAAAAGTAGTCTAAAAAGTCAGGTAAATAAGTAGCTGCCCCATGAACAATACCCATTACATAGAAAGCTGCAGAGTTTTCATTTTCACTGAACACTAGACCCACAAACTCTTCTGCAAACCTCTCCATCTCCACAGGAGACAGGTGGGAGAGTTCATTACTGTAGGCGTGGATAACAGATGCGCCTCCATTAGGCTGGTGCTCAATATGAATGAGCTGTTTGAACTCCAACGTGTCCAACCTTTTGAGGTTATTCTGAACCCGTGGCTCCTTTAATGAGACAAATGGAAACTCACTGTTCTCTGGAATTTTGGAATCATAGTTCTTGGTATCCAAATTCTTTCCACTGTAATCCTTTACATTATCATTTAGGATGCCTTTGGCTTCTTGATCTTCAACATCAGATAGCAATCCTGAGCAGATGGTTTGAATAGATTTGCTATACATTTTTGGACGCTTCCGTTTTTCATTCTCTTTGTGTTTCTTTTTCTTTTTCTTCTTTACTTTTTTAATTTGTAAGTCTTCTGCATTTGTTTTTGGTTTCTCCTTCCCACCTGTTGAGAAAAAAAAATTTTTTAACTCCATATTTTAGTTACTTAAAAATCATACTTAAGGAACTATTGTACAATAAATAAGCAAAGTTTACTCAGATTTAAGTTTGTATCTGGGACTTGTTTTACACAATATTGATAAACATAATTTAGTCAATCTCCTTCCCTCTCTACACACACACACACACACACACACACACACACACACACACACACACGAAGGCCTACGACAAATTTGTACCTATCGCGCATGGTACCATTCTGACATGTAGCAGACGTTCAATCACTGTTTACTGAAGTAATGAATGGATATTTTAGAAACCTTAATCTTCAAATTTAAATGTAAAAAATCAGAAATAGGAAATTGAACAGAGATCAGTCAGATGTTTCCCACTGACACATATCATCATTTTAATGCATCTAAGTTATTTAAAAATTGCATGTAGTCAAAAGACTTATAAATCACAAAGGGAGAGAACTATTTGCATTGTATGAGCAGCAACAAACACAGCAATTCCTTAGCTTTTTACCATATTTCCTCCTTACTATTCTTGCATCTAAAATGGACTATTTTAGAGGTCCACTAGATTTTGCAAAGTCCCCAATGAAGACCCAATAAGGCAGCATAAAGGAGATGACAAAATTAGAATAATTTCACATGTCCTATAAGCATAAATGATACCCATGTACTAGTAAAGAGATGAATAAAAAAGTAAAACATTTAGGGATTATAACCATATACATTAATAAGCTTCTGTAACTAAAGTCAGGTAGATTCTGAGTCCAGAAATTTAGAACTCCAAAAAATACAAGAGTAATGCACAGAGGCTATACAGCTATAGACTAAGTGTACATATAAATGTGTAATTTTATCAATATATTTATTTCTGTACAGCAAGAAAAATAGGAGAAAGCAAACATCTTCACAATAAAGTATTATGCTGGGGCATCTGGGTGGCCCAATAGGTTAAGTGCCAGACTCTTTATATATGCTTAGGTCATGATCTCACAGTCCTGAGATTGAGCCCCGTGGCAGGCTCTACACTGAGCCCTCTCTCTCTGCCCCTCCCTCATTTGTGCTCTTTTCTTTCTCTCAAAAATAAATAAACTTAAAAAACATACTATGCTTCCTAAGATAGTATGAGAAAGCCATATGCTAAGAGTTAAGAAGAAAAAGCATTCACTGTTTCTACCTGTTATTTCACTTTTATAGACAACCTGTTATAAATTAAACCTTCCCAATCTGTTTCCTTACCTAAATTTTTCCATATGCACATATGGCTTTTATTCCTTTCTGTCTCCAGTGAGTGAGATGTCCTGCCTACTTTTCAAAAATAAGTCCCTCCCACCAACTCCAAAAACCCTTACAAAAATAGTTCCCTATCCTCTTCTTTTGATCAAACTTCTCAAAGCAACCATCTATGCTGAGGTCCTTCCATTTATTACCTTATT